TTGTAGTTTTGGTTTGATTAGGAAAAGAGAATTTTCTTTTTTCTGAAATAAAAATAGTAGGAAAAGATAATATTTAGGATAGAAGTCTAAAATTTTTATGCTGTTTAGAAGTTTCCTTGATAATTTTATTTAATTAGGACTTTGGAGTAAAATAAGAAATTCTTATGGTAGTCTTACTGATGGATCTAGAAATGGGTTGGTTTACATAGAAATCAGCTAGTGGATTGGATTGTTTTTGAGTTTTTTGTATCTTACTTATCTTGGTCATAATTTATAAGCTTGCTAAGAGAGAACCCAATGATTTCTCGAGTAAGTACTCAAACTTTAGTAAAATTTCTTCTCATAAAATCTGCTCAGAAGAACAGCCTTAGGTTTTATTACAATGGAAAAAGCAAGAACTCGAGAATTCAAGTGAGCGTGCCGGCTGGGCTCGAAAGTGTAGGGCTGACCTAGTTCCATGGAACATCTTTAGATAAGAAACATGGAAAACTGGAAAGTTGGTAAGCAGCTGCCCCAATACCCTTGATGATGGGAAAAGAACCATAAAATGGTGGGCTAACACCTGAATATGATTGCTGCCCAGAGAAATTAGGCGAGGTGCTTCTAATTTCAGAAGGACCAAATCACCCACATTAAAAGTGACTTTCCAATGGTGAGAATCATAGTTGTCTTTCATGTGCTGTTGAGCTTGAAGTAGCCATTGTCTCAACTCGTGTACGAATTACAGGTCTTAAGCTTACCATCCATAGTTTCAGCTTAAGATAAGCTAGAGCAGCACGCTAATCGAGAAGGACCAAATCACCTTGTAATATAAATACAACTCTTACTTTTATTTAAAAAAAAAAATAAGGTAGAGCAGCAAGAAGGAAGCCGGGAATTGAATGCCCATAGACTATTTCAGAAGGAGTAGCACTAACAGAGAAATGGAAACCAAGGTTGTAAGGATATTCGGCCCAAGCAACCCAATCTACTCGTTAATTTGGATTTTCATGTAAAACAATCGAAATATATATTTACAGTTTGATCAATTACCTCAGTTTGATCATTTGTTTGAGGGTGATATATTGAATGGGAAAGCAAGTTTAGTGGAACTAGATTGAAATAATTCATTCCGAAAGGACTTGTAAAAATGACATCGTAGTCATTTACAATTGATTTCGGCAAGCAATGTATCTTGAAACTGTGTCAAAGAAAAGATGAGCAATTGCCATGTAATTGCCATAGATGGATGAGATAGCGGCACAAAATAAGCATATTTAGAAATCCACCACAACTAGCAGAATATTCTTACCATGGGAAGTATAGAAATATCTTATTGGACCTGATGAGGCACCAATAAAGGCATCAATGAACCCCCATGTTGTAATTGATCAACTTTATTTTGTTGACAAATAGGACAAGAATGAACAAAATCAAACTTGTTGCTTCATACCATTCTAGAAAAAAGAAATGATTAGATAGCCTCTTAAGAGTTTTCTTATACCTTTCATGAAATTGATTATTTATAGTGTCAACTGTAGATCTCTAAAAGAAGACTCAGGGTTAATAAAAACCCTATTCTTATAGAAGATTAGGTTTTTTTAAAAAAAAATAAAAGATGAAAGTGTTATTATTTACAAAGGTACAAAAGGAGTACCACTCAATTATATAGTAGTTACATATCAATTAAGTGCTCAATGACACACCCCAAATCTAAGATTAGGTTGTCTCAAACAACTCAATTGCTATTCAATTCCTATGGAGGATTTGATTGTTCAGTTGTTGGAGTGAAAAAGAGTCCTATATAAATGAAAATCTAATTTAGAGAAAACAGGCTACCATGCAATTCCTCAAGTAATTCATCAATCAAAGGAATAGTGAATCTATCTTCAGCGATAAGGGTCGATAATCTATGCAAAATCTCCATGTGTTATTAGCCTTCTTTGCTAAATGAACAAACAAAGAATAAGGAGCTTGGTTCGAACAGATCAACCATTGTTGAAACATATTCTTAAATTGTCGTTCAATCTCATCTTAGGATAACAACAATCGGACCGACCTAGTGAACCCAAACCAATCTGTTAAAACTTGTCTCGGTTTTCACAAGAAAAAATCGAGTTGCATCAGGTCAGTTTGATTTATCTTTTCTTATCCAACCGAGGCAGGTTGGGTTTGGGTTTGAACCAAAAACATTTATTCAAACTAGACCGAGTTGTATATATAATAAATATATCAAATTATTATTTCTCTTGGTTTGTCCCGTATGTTTATTGGTTTTGGAAGAAAATGCATGAAGTAAAATGGGAAAGGATATCTTCAAATTTTTTATATTTTAAGGATATGGATATGTACACACTTGCATACATATACATAAGCTAGTATTGTGTGTAAAGTAACCAAGCCCAAGTACACTAACCTTCCTTGGAAGAGAAAAAAACAAGAAGAAAAAAGCGCAAGTAGACTAATCTCTCATATTCATTTTGGCTCCAAGAGAGAATATCTATATTTCAATATGTACAATGTTAGTTTTTATTAAATAATTTTTTGGAGATAAAATAATATATATACTATTATTTTATTAAATAATATATATACTATTTTAATGAGAAATAGAAAAACCCTACCCCGAACATCGTCCTTGTCCAATAGCTCCTAATCTTCCTTTTCCTCTCTGTTGTCTTCTTGTTTTTCTTGTCTTCCTCGCTCTTTGCATCACAATAGCCCTAGAGCTCGTGTCGTAGATTGTCTTGTCTTCCTCTTTCAGTCTTCATGCATTGTCTTCCTCTTTCTCTAAGTTGGATGAAGCTTCATCTCTGCATTCAAGTCTTCATCTTTAATCTTCCACTTGCTCAAGGCTCAGTCTTCATCTTTTACTCTTTTAGTGTCTTCCATCAAGTTAGGTCCAATTGGGTTTCATCAAAAGTTCGATTGACGGAAAATAATGTGATCTTGATTAACCCTCTGTGGGTCCAATGCGAGTTCAAGTTTTCTATTTATAGAACTACTTCGAGTTCGAGTTTTGCGAAACCTGACCTAAAACCAATTCGTTTCCATCTCTAATCTCATCCTTCCAAAGATGGGAATAATGATATGGTCTCACAACCACTAGTGGGGTATATAGAAGAAAGGTAATACGGTGATTGCACGTTCAACTAGGAAGCAACCACTAGACGCTAGGAACATTTCATCAAACTCCAAAAGTAAGCGGTGAAGTTCCATATTACGATCTTTTTCAGTTGACATAGGTGAGAGAACCCAAGCTCGGGAGCTAAAGAATTTTTGGTCTAGTATTACCTTAGGTGAGAAAAGTTACAAATGTTTCATGATAATCAATCCCGTAAGTCTAAGTATTACCTTTTTTTTTTTGGTTGAAATAAAAGTATGAACTGTATTATCTTGGTACCATAAAACCGAAGGTACCGCCCCTATACATAAAACTTTACAATATAGTTAGTGAGTCAATGACATGCCTAAAATCTACATTACTAATCATGTCATACCCTAACAATAAAAACTCAAAATTATGCATACACTTATTTCTCAATCTATACAAATAAGTGGATTTACCCTCAAAAGCTCCACAATTTCTTTCCTTCCAAAGAATCCAAATAAAGGATAATGGAATAATATATTTCAACTTTCTATCTAATTGAATTCTATCTGATGCTCACAAGTCCTCCCTAATAGACCCAACCATCACCCAATTAACCCCAATCAAACTATAAATGGTACTCCACAAACCAAACGCCATCGGACACCACAACAAAACATGCCTGCAACTTTCCGCATCAGCCATACATAAATAACATATGTTGGGAATAAACAACCCTTGAGCAATTAAGTCATCAATTGTCAATATGCATTCTCTACTTGCTTCCCACGCAAAAAAAGCAACTCTAGGAGGGACATTAGCCTTCCAAATCTGCCTAGTAGGGAGAATTAAGTTCATGACATTATTTCTGTTAATTAAGTGCTTGTAGTAAGATTTGATAGAAAAAAACTCCACTTTTATCCACCTTCCGCTGCACCTTATCCTCACCATCAATTAACTGTTGGGCAGACAATAAACATAACTATTGTCTAGTATCTTCATTCGGGCCTCCTTTTTAAGATCAAGAAGAATGTCATCATAAACTCAACAGTATCATTGCGTATAATTTAATTGAGAGATCCGTTATTAAGTAACTTAATTTGTGCAGTCAAAAAACAAATATCTTTTATCATCTCCTCGTTTGTTTGATATCTTTTTAAAAAATAAAAATAAAAAGTGTAAAGTATATATCATATCAACAGTACCAAGGGGTACTACCCATGTACAAGATATTTACAATTCTGTTATAATGTCAACTACATATGCAAAATCTTCCTCCTTATATATATCATGACTTAGGAAAAGACCCCAAAATAATCAAACCAACTGTCCATGATTTTAACAATCTTTCTTTCCATCCCCTCAAAAGCGCTACTATTCATCTCTTTCCAGATCACCCAAAAAATTGTCAAAGTAATGAGATTTACAAACTTTTTTTTTACATATGTCTTCCCAACCCCATATTTTCATCACTAATCGAACCCATAATAACTCAGTTGATCCCTAACAATCCATACATCATAATCCACAAGTTAGAGACCACCGAGCACCATAACAGGATGTGGTTACACGATTCGGCTGCATTTTTGCAAAAAATAACATCTATTTACCACAATTCTTCCCCGCCTCATCAGCTTTTTGATAGTCAAAATGTATTTTCTACCAGCTTACCAAGCAAAAACAACAATTCTTGGTGGTGCCTTTGGCTTCCAAACCTTTAACTAGAAACCTTTGCTCCCCCATCTCCCCATTTCTAGTCAAATGGTTATACAAAGATTTCATTGGAAACAACCCATTCTTTTTCAGTTTCCCACAAGCTGATCTAACATTATCATTCAACTAGATTGCGGAAAATAATTGTAATAAAGATTTATATTTTTCAATCTCCCAATCATTGAGATTTCTTATCATATTAACTATTAACTCCTTAAGTTCCCATCCCCCATAAGCCTCTTCCACAAAGAATGTTCTTCAATTGAGCAACAGTAAAATTCTGTGGAAATTGATCCTTGTGGCTACCCGTCCCAATCTAGTAGAAGAGAACCTCATTCCCTCTTCCCACCTTCCAATTGGTACACTCTTGAATATAATGTCTCCTCAAACACATACTCTTCCAGAGCCCCGCCCCAAACAATCTACCAAATCTCTAATAGTCCCTTCCCCACTCATGAACCCCCCGTCGGGTTTTTACGACCCTCTTCCAAAGACTGTCCTCATCCCTCATGTACCTCCAAATCCTTTAACCTTGTAATGCCATATTCATTTCAATTAAAGATCTCACGCCTAAATCCACCAGCTCTAAAGGTAGCTTTTCCTCTTCCCACTTCACCAAATGGTACTTCCTTCTCCCCTTGTTTGTCTGATGTCTTCACTTGTTACACTAGTTCGATGGTTAATGATGATCTCCTTCGTGACCTCACTTATTGACTAGATCTTAGGTGTTGGATAATCAATGATGATGACATCATCTTGCTACACAAAAAGAGATAGGTTATGACATATGATGGTCACAACATCATTGTAATCCTACAAGAGAATGACTGGTTATTTTATTGTCATCATAAAAATAGTTAAAAGTTAGTGAACACATCTTTCAAGAACTCTCCCTATAAATCTATGAACAAGCGGCTTAACTTTTTTGTTGTCTCTTTGAACACTGTGTAGGATTGGAGAGAGAAACTATATTGAGATGTAATTACTTCTTTGTAAAAGTGTAATCATAATGATTTTCATGTATGAGAGAATATTCTATTGTTGAGGGTTGATAGACTTCAGGAAGAGTTTGAACATTTCTATAATTAATTTTTCACAATCAAGATCCAATATTACTAGATATTGTCTAATTCTTGCAACTATTATAAGATTAAAGTCTTACTAACATGGATTGCCTCGTTGAGTCACCTAATGTTTTGAATGTCTAAACAATTAGCTCATTTTTTTAAATTTTTTATTATTTATCATTGTTATTATTATTATTATTATTTTATCTTATATAATATCGTAAGATATATCTAGTGCAATATTCTAGTTAGGTCACATATGCAGTAATCAACTTCAAGTTTCACATTGGTATTTGAGTGCTTGAGAACTTGATAGCCAATCAGTGCTCCTAATAATGAACAAAGTGCATCTTGCATTGACTTAGATGGCTTTTGATGTATTTTTGAGAGACAATACTTGGTCAAATGGACTCTACAAAAGCTCACTGGTCGAATTAGGATGGTTAATAAACATATAACCCAATTTTCATAAGATGTTGACACGAATATTTTATTGCATAAATGACCGTGATATTTTTCCTATATAGTCCTACCATTTATTTTCTCCATAATGATATAATTATTTAAAATTTTTATTATAAGGAAAAATTTTCTATTGGTAGTTACGAAGTTTTGTATATATATGAGTTAGTTGTAATATCTAAAGTAGGAAAAAAAAATGTAAATATTTTTCCTAAATTTCTACATGGTATCAGAGTAAAAATAAAAGTATTTTAGGGTTTTAATTTTTTAAAGTTTTTCAAATTCTAAAATATTCTCAACACCCAACCAAAAGGAGCCGCAGCCTCATTACTGGCCGGCCGCACTTCTCCGGTGAACGTCTTCGCTCTACCCGACTCTCTTGCGACGGTCGCACACGACCCTTTCGTGCACAACAGTTGTTTTGCACTTCCGACTCGCGATAATAACTTTTTTTGTGCACAGCCGCTGATTTGCGCCTTCTCTTCGGGCACGGCTATTCGTCTCGACCCGGTTGTCTCCATGTACAGCCACTGATTTGCGCCTTATCTTCACATATGGCTATTCGACCCGACCCGATTGTTTGATTCGTGCACGGCCATTTGCGCAGGGGGTTTGTTTCGTGCATGAGCTCTGCTATTTTCATCTCTAGTTTCTGCTGTTTTTCACACAGGCTGCTGGTTTTGCCCGTTTTTCACATAGATTCCGTTTCGATCCACTTGTTTTTTGTGCTTTTTAGGATCTGATTTTTGGTTTCCACGCGGCCACATGCCCTCCGCCTTCTCAACTGTGCGATTGTCACACTTTCTCTTCTCAGGTTGTTGGTTATTCTTTGGACCAAGAATTATATTCTATCCTTAAGAGATATTATTGGGAATTATTGTTGTTTCTAGTATTCAAAAATGTCATAAGCAAAAAAGGTGATTGTTCCCAATTCTGATAACCCATCATAACAAATCATTCCCATCAAGCTTGATGGAACTAATTATCTTGCTTAGTTTAGATCCTGTTTACTGTTTATCAAAGTTAGAAGTTTGCAAGGTTATATTACTGGTGATGTGAAGAAGCTCGAAATCAGTAATTTGGAATATAACAAATAGGACTTTGAAATTCTTTGGTCATGTCTTGGCTCATTAACTCCATGCAACCTCATATTGCCCGAACATATCTGTTGTTCAACACCGTCGCAGAAATATGAAATGCAGTGTCTTTTACATACTCACAAGTGGGTAATGATGCTCAAATTTATGAACTCAAGAGTAAGGTTCACAACACTAAACTAGGAGAATTGACTATCTCTCAATATTTTTCTAAACTCAGTGCATTATGGCAGGAGCTCGAGTATTATCAGGATTTTCAAGCAGATTGTCCAGGAGATGATGTCAAATTTCAGAAAATAATAGAAAATGAGCGGATTTATGATTTCTTGGCTGGTCTGAATGCCGAATATGATCAGATACGGGTCCAGGTACTTGGAAATGATCTTTTTCCCTCATTAGAACTAACTTATTCTTACGTTCAGTAAGAGGAAAGTAGAAGAATTGTCATGTTCTACATAACACCAATTGAGAAAGCTGGGTTAATTGTTCAGTTTGATCACTCCTAAGACTAACGGAATTGTGACTATTGTGGGAAGCCGAGACACACTAAGGAGACTTGTTGGAAATTGTATGGACGACCCACTAGAGGACGGTGGGGAAGAAAAGGTGGGCCTATGAGAGCTCAAACAAACTTGGTTGCAGCAAGTGAAGCACTTGACACACCAACAGTGGGAACTTTTTCCACTGAAGAGATTCAGAGTCTAAAGCGCATTTTGTCTCAACTTAAACAACTATTGGTACATTACGTATGGTAAAATCAGGTATTCATTCTCTCCCTCTTCTTTCAACTCCTGATGATTGGATTATAAACTCTAGAGCTAACAGTCAAGCTCTTCCACTGAATTTCTAACCTATTTTTCTTGCACTAAAGGAGAAAATGTTCGTATAGCAGATGGGTCATACACTCCTGTGTCTGGAACATGTTCCATTAATTGTATCCTGACTATTGCACTATCTTTAGTTTTACATGTAGTTAGTTTTGCTAATAACATTTTATCTATTAGTGTCATTACTAAAGATCTAAACTGTAAAATAGAATTTTTTCCTGATTATTATATCTTTCAGATTCTTCAAACAGAGAGGATGATTGACATTGGTAGACTGCAGGATGGCTTATATGTTTTGAAAAGAAGTCAGAACCTAATTGAGAATCAAGCCACCATTGAGAACAAGAAAATCAATTTGGAAATACTACAATGGCACCGGCGGTTGGGACACCTTTCCTTTTTTATTTTAGAAAAATTATATCCTAATCTATTTAAGAGAACTTCCATGGATTCTTTATTTTGTGATGTATGTGAGTTTGTTAAACATAAAATGAGTTTTTATCATTTGAGTAATAATGAAAGTTTTATTCTTTTTATGACTATTCACTCTGATGTGTGGGGGCCTACTCAGAACACTTCTTTATCTTATCATCGATGATTTGTTATTTTTATTGACTGTTATACTCGATTGACATGAATTTACCTGTTGAAAGCAAAAAATGATGTATTTTCATGCTTTCAAGCATTTCATAAAATGATATGTACACAATTTGATGGTAAAGTTAAGATCCTGAGAACTGACAATGGTACAGAATATATGGATAGGGAGTTCCGTACTTACTTGAAGTCAAATGGGATAATTCACCAAACAAATTGTGCCTACACCAGTGAACATAATGGAGTTACTGAAAGAAAAAACAGACACATACTGGAGGTAGTTGGATCACTAATGTTCACCATGAACGTACTTAAAAGTTATTGGGGAGATACAATTCTCTCAGCCGTCTATCTTATTAATAGAATGCCTTTACGGGTTCTTGAGTTTAGAAGTCCTCTGAAAGTTTTGCGAAGTACAAATTCTCATACTGTTCATCCAAAACTGTTTAGATGTGTTTGCTTTGTTCATACTAAAAATGTGAGCAAGTTGGAACCTAGAGTTCAAAAGTGTGTATTTATTAGATATTCTCCAACTTAAGAGGGTTACAAGTGTTTTCATCCACCAACTAGAAAATACTTTGTGACTATAGATGTTACTCTTCAAGGGGAGAGTGAAATGGAAGAGGTGATGTCCAGTTTTGTAACTTTTGACAGTCATATTCAGGGGGAGAATTATATGTTAGAAGATCTTATTCAAGAAAAAAATGCTAGACGATTGGATAAACTGGATCTGAAAAAGTATTCAATGAGAGATAAGATAGAAAAAGCCATAATGCAGTTTATCCCAGGTCAGAATCTTCTTTAGTTCCTGAAGATACAGGTGAGTCATCTTTACCTTGTGAATTATCTGATATAAACACACTGCTCTTAGAAAAGGAATCAGAACTTGCACTAAGTATTCTCTATCTAATTTTGTTTCATATAACTCTCTATATCCCTCATATAGAGATTTTGTCTTATCTGTTTCTTATGTATCTATTTCACAGGATTTGAGAGAAGTTTTAGAAGATCCTAATTGGAAGGAACCGATGATTGAAGAAATAAGAGCATTGACAAAAAATGAAACATGGGAGCTCGTTTCAATTTCAAAAAAAAAAGAAAATGATTGGTTGCAAATGGATGTTCATTGTAAAACACAAATCAGATGGGCCGATGACCTATTGAAAGATACAAAGGTAGACTAGTGGCTAAAAGGTTTACACAAACCTATGGAGTTGACTGTCAGAAAACCTTCGCCCCTATTGCAAAAATGAACACAATCAGAATATTACTATTCTGCGCTGCTAATTTTTGATCGAGATTTACACCAGTTTGATGCAAAAAATGACTTCCTCTATGAGGATTTAGAGGAGGATTATACATGAAGATTCCACATGGATTTGAAGATGAAAGAACATAAGGGAAAGTTTGCAAATTAAAAAGACCTTGTATGGATTAAAACAGTCTCCAAGAGCATGGTTCGAAAGGTTCAGAAGAGTTATGATTTCTTTCGGATATCAGAATATTGATCATACCCTATTTATCAAGCATTGTAAGAGTATGATCACTCTTCTCTATGTAGATATTATGGTGACTAAAGATGATACAAAGGAGATGACTCGATTAAAGAAATTTTTTGCTCGAGAATTTGAAATCAAAGATCTTAAAAAATTGTAGTACTTTCTGTGAATTGAGGTTGTCAGATCTAATAAAAGAATTTTTATCTCTCAAAGAAAGTATATCCTACACTTGCTAGAAGATACTGGTATAATGGGTTGTAAGTCAGCCGAATCCCCTATTGAAAGTAATCACAAATTACAAGCAGGTAGTGGTATATCAATTGATATTGGAAGATATCAGAGATTAGTTGGAAGACTTATTTATCTTTCACATACTAGTACAAATATAGCATATGCAGTTAGCCTGGTGAATCAGTACATGCATGATCCTCGTGAGACTCATTTACATGCTGTTTTTCGAATACTACAATATCGAAAATTTGCATCAAGAAGAGGTTTATTCTTCTCTAGAAATGACCATCTTAAGATAGAAATATTTACTGATACTGATTGGACTGGATCTCCTGATGATAGAAAGTCAACTACCGATTACTCCACACTCGTTGGAGGCAACTTGGTTACATAGAAAAGTAAGAAGTAGAGTGTAGTTGTCCGTTCTAATTAAGGAATTAAAATTGTTTAAAGAAGAAAGTTTATCATTGTTTTGTGACAATAAAACAGCTATTAATATTGCTCAAAATTATGTTCAACAATATCGAACAAAATACATTGAGATTGACCGTTATTTCATAAAGGAAAAAGTGGTTGATAGTTGCTTATGCTTACATCATGTGTCTTCTAGCAATTAGGTGGCAGATATCTTCACCAAAAGACTGTACAACAAAACTCTTCAGAACTTGATATGCAAGTTGGATATATGTGATATCTTTGTATCAACTTGAGGGGGAGTGTTGACACAAATATTCTGTTACCTAAATGACCGTGATATTTTTCCTATATAGTTCTATTATTTATTTTCTCCATAATGATGTAATTACTTGGAATCTTTATTATAAAGAAAATTTTTCTATTAGTATTTAGAAAGTCTTGTATATATACGAGTCATTTGTAATACCTAAAGTAGGGAAAAAAAAATGTAAATATTTTTTTCAAATTCCTATGGTTGTTTTTAAGCCCTTTACTGCATCATGTCATAATACTATTATCATTACATTGATTTTCTCTTCCATTAGTCCAATTAGAAGACTTAACAGACATCTCAAATCAGATAACCTTGGTTGAATGCATGAATAGACATATCAATTTTCCTAAAAGTGTGTATATAACATGAATCCTACCAAGCTAATTTCAAAAAGTAAAAGAGCATACCCAAGAACATCAATAACTAGTCTGAAAAATGTTGAGATCATGTCTGGAGGTGATTGAACAGGACAAGTTAAACTGGACTGACCAAATCAGTTTGAACTGGTCGGTAGAACCTTCAAAATACTGAAACCCACGTGTAGTGGTCTGCATGTGGGTGTGACGCACCAGCTTCAGGAGGTCGTTTGTTGTTGGTCTTTCTGTCAGGGACTTGTCTGGAGGCCTGCTGTGGATCTGGTGGTGTTGTTTGTTGATGTTACCGGAAAATGGCAGTTTCTGGTGAGGCAGTGGCATGAACAACATAAAGAAGCAATTGGCGTGGTTTCCGATGAAGTTAGGAGCTGAGACTTGCTCTCTAGGCTTGTCAGTTGCCTCTGGCATTGATGGCAGAGCAGTGATGCCTAACTCCTAGGGGTGCCCTGCAAATGCTTGTAGTCAACAACCTCTGTCTGGACTGCAGTTGCTGCTGCAGCTTAGCCTCTGTTTAGGGTTTGTGAGGTGACTGATTTAGTAGCACGCTGTGAAATTAGGACAAAAGTTATGGTAACCTGGCAAATTGAAGTTAGGCTCTAATACTAACTGATGTAGAACAAAGAGAGCTTGTACACAACGTATAGAGAAAATTTAGTAATAACCAAACTTGGTAAATATCTCAATATTTGTTAATAATCATATGAATTGTTTACTTAATAATTAATCTAGAGTGTATTATTTATAAGCATCAAAATAGAATGAAAAAATGGATTTTTAAATCAATCCAGGAATTTACTAAAATAGAAAAATAAGCTAAGTAATTAAATATCTAAAGTAAAATATAATTAAATAGGATAGTAACTAAATAGAAAATAATAAAATCATATCATTAATAAACCTATAGATACTAGTTTTTAAATAAGTTAACTACCTTAATAATTTGGAGACATTACAATTACATAAATATATCTTAGTATTTAAATATGTCCATTCTGGTATCTTCCTGTTCTGATCAAGTCGCGATCCCTTTGGTGATCCATATATTGCATGTCTTGCATGGTTAGCTTTTTACAGATTAACCCAATTAACTCATCTCATCTGTTAACCCAAACTAGCAGATCTGCATCAATAAATTCTTCTCTGCTATGCTGACCTTGTTAAGACTAGTCTTTCCAGGTTCTGTGGTTTCCAGGCAATATTACAAACTTATTCTCTTAAATTTTCAGCTAGCAAATGTGCAGTGTCCACGTGATACTCATTTTTGGGTCTATGATGATGGTCGTTATGAGGAAGAAGGCCAGAACAATATCAGGGGAAACATATGGGAGAAGGTATAGACTAGAAATCTCATTGCTGGAAACTCCTTTAATCCTACAGTTAGTCACGCATATCTCATATAATGCAATTTGAATTTGCTCTTTGCTAGACAGGCTTCAACACGTTTTGTTTGTACGTTGTTCTCATTGCCTGTCCCTCATTGTGAACCACATGGCACAAGAGATGAGGCTAGCAATTATACAACTGTCCCAAGTTATCTAGAGCAAAAGAAGATTCAGAAACTTCTCTTGCTGGGCCTTCATGGCTCTGGAACCAGTACTATCTTTAAGCAGGTATATTTCCTTTTTTTTAAATCAATCTTTAAGCAAGTATCTTAACCGATTTTGAGTTTTCATTTTTAAATTGGAATGCTTATTCTTGTTCTACTTTATTAGAGAAGAAGTTTTTGGAGTATTATATTTCTATCTACTTATGTGAGATCTTCTTCAATATATTTCATCATTAAATTTGTTTATTGTCCTTAGTCTAATAAACTGCAGTCCTAAGAATGTTTTGCACAATTGTTGTGTTCTTGATAGATTCTCATTTTTTGATGCCATCTCTTTCTCAACATTGTTCATAGTAATGATGCCATTTTCTCAAATGCAAATTTCGTATTCCTCCACAGGCCAAATTTTTGTATGGGAACAAATTTACTGCAGAAGAACTCCAGGATATCAAGCTGATGATACAGAGCAATATGTATAGATATCTTAGCATATTGCTAGATGGAAGGGAGCGGTTTGAGGAGGAGGCCCTCTCAAGACTGAAAGCAGTGGGCTCCCTTGATGGCGTCTCTGAAGAAGGTAATATTTGCTGATATTATTTTCTTTTGATGTTATTAAGTTGTTTGGAATCTAGTGTACCATTTAAGTATTTATGCAGCTGTGTATTCTCTGTTGCTGCTATTGTTTATCATAAATCCAAATGTTGAAAGTACATGGTGATGACAGGTCACCTGCTGAAATAGTTCATGATGCTCATAATGCTAATGACTCGACTAATACATATAATGCTTGCCTTTTTGTCTGGTCTGCATTCTTAATTATCTATTTTTGAGCTGTCAAAAAATGAAATTAGAGGGTTTCGGTGGTATCAATTTTGAAAGATATAGAGTTAATTTCATGCTAAATCCATGATTATTAAGAATAGGTTAGATGCAGTTGAAATTAGTTCATCGCTTAAACAAGACTGAACTAGTTTTCGTGCTGCAAGTTCTTTTCCTCCTTCCAGTTTGGTTGAAGTAATTTGATTGAGCATGAGGTTAAAATCATCTAAATATCTTCCATTTTAATTTTTTGCTGGTCAGTGAGTGAGTACTTGGGTAGAGGGAAAGAAAGAAAAGGTTTATTGGCAACCCCTTCCCTGATAGGTAACATTTTGTGGTAACTACAGCTTGTCTAGTTGTGGATCAAATGCTATTTTCTCTAATATGATTTTAATTTTTTTAAAAAATCAAGAGTGTTTTACCTAATTTTTTGTGCTTTTGATAATGCCATAGGAAGTTTTGATGCTACTTATATGGGAAAACAAATTCAAATCATTGAGAAAATCTTACATTTTTTTTAAAAGAATAAATATTTGAATCAACTTAAGAAAACTTTACGAAACAGTGAAATTAGCATAGATTATTCAAGTGTCTCAAGTAATGACAACTTCTTTACAGGCGCTGAATATGACAATAATGAAGCAAGTCAGTGTATCTACTCCCTTAACCCGAGGTTGAAGCATTTCTCTGATTGGCTGCTCGACATTATAGCTACAGGAGATTTAGATGCATTTTTCCCTGCTGCAACTCGTGAGTATGCTCCGTTAGTTGAAGAGGTCTGGAAAGATTCTGCTGTACAGGAAACATATAAAAGAAAAGATGAGCTTCACTTTCTTCCTGATATTGCAGAATATTTCTTAAGTCGGGTATGATATGAGGATACTCAAGTATAATAATGTTGGTTATATCTTTTTTCTTTTCAAATAAAAGTATAGAAAAGTATTATTCACAATGGTACCAAGGGAATACCGCTCATATAGAAAAGTATTTACAAATCAATTAAGTGATCAATGACATTCTCAAAATCATCCAATCTATTAATGCCATGATCTAAGAGTATAGAACCAAAAATATGAAATCATCTATCTCTAATATTACCCATTTCCTTCTCAATACCCTCAAAAGCTGTAGAATTTCTCTCATTCCAAACAACCCAAAAGATAGATAAATGAATTAAACGTATAAGATTTCTTTTTACACAA